GCTCGCCAAATACTCTTCTGAATTCTCTGATGGGAATTTTCGCAACTTCAAAATAAATTGGTTCAAAAGGCGAAATCCAGACGTGATTTAAATATCTTGGGATTATGCCATACGATAGTTAATATGAGGACTCTACTTGATTAATATTTTCTAATTGAAAACACACTTGAGCATTTTTCTTAATATTTCATGAGACAGCGCATGGCTGTAGGAGTTTAAACATCACTCAACAACCAGGGCCGACTTGGAGACCCACGGCACACTGCCGTTTGTCAACTTGGGTCATCGGCCATATATTACAAGTGGTTGTGGCAAACTTTTACCTTCGCCATTGAAAGCCGCATCCGTCAGAGTAGTGTATAAGCCAAGACTGCAAAGCTGGCCTTCGTTTGTGGCTACACACTGTCGGCATTTTGACACGACATTCCTGCGCTGCACAATTGCAGCACTGTACTAGTGCCAGCAAGCGAATTCATGTTCTTAAGGAATGCCTGTGCACAGTTTCAGATCAGGGCACACCTATAAAACATCTATCAGACTGTCGCAGCCATACCAGTTACAACTTGTTTCTCGCTAAGAGCACTTTAAAGTGGGCTAGAAGGAGTGTTCTTCACTTCTGGTGCCTGCCAGTTCACAGTAGAAAAGGACATTAATATTTAATTTATTTGCTTTGGCTGTCCCAGTCCTGCTAGCCCCAGGTCTACGCAAGGGTGAGGAGACTTTTCTGTTGTTGAACACTCCGTTAATAACACGAACTATTTGCAGTGGCGCAATGCGGTCGCAGAAACTTCTTCTTATTGTATGCATGGACTGAATAAAGACTGACACCACATTCTGTTTATTTCACTTGCCAGCTGGATATTCAAATAAGAAGGCTGCATTGTTAACTTGCAGACATATTCAACTTAAATTTTTGGGTAACACAGATACGGAATGTGTAAAGTTCTGACCTCATACTGATTCCAGTCGAAAGAGAATGTGTGACTCTTTCCTATTGGTAAATATCTTGTCCGTTTAGCGACTGGGTTTTCAGCCACAATAGGCCTGGAATAAGCAAGTGAAAGTAAACGCATTCAGACAATTAAAAATTCTTTTCTCAGCAGGCGGGTGGGAGAGAAAACAGGGGACAAAAGTTGGTCTTATTTTTGTCTACAAGGCGTCTTTGAAAAGGGTGAATTTATTAGGGAGATTAGCTTCCGGGCTTATCGGGAAAGGGGACAGACCAACCATTCCCACCAATCGCAGTCCAGCACAGAAGTAGAAATAAGCCACTACGAAAAAAAAAGATCTTCGGAAAATCGAGTTGTACTGGTGAATTTTCGAACAGGCATTACTTGTTCGTCGTCAGACTAAATGAAAAGTGAGGGCTGGGAATGTCGCACTAGAGGTTTTGGGATCAGAGGTTACAACAAACGAGATGGGATTGGGCGGGAGGGTTACGGTGACGTGACTCCTGCGGTGATAGGTTGTGCTGATGGGGGGAGGGAGTTGTTAACGTTATGACTGTAGAACAAGTGGCCTACAATCCAAACGTTAACAACTCCCTCCCCCCACCAGCACAACCTATCACCGCAGGAGTCACGTCACCGTAACCCTCCCGCCC